GAACGGACTTTCCCACAGACAGCGAGCGGGCTGGAGCTGGGCAGTGTCTTACCACCGAGCCTCCTTGGTCCCCGCTGTCCGTGCCGTGACCGTCTGCCCCGCCATGGCCGCCTGACCTTTGAACTGATGCCGCCGCCATAGCAACAGAAACATCTGCCCCCATCTGGGCGTTCACTCGCTGCCAGACGGAGCTAAACGATCCTAGGCACTCACCTGGTTTAAAGAGTAAGTCATCTTTCACATGGGTGGAAAAAAATATATATTTCTTTGTTGTTGTTGTTGTTGTTGTTGTTGTTGTTGTTGTTGTTAATAATCATCATAATAATTTGTTGCATTTTTATGGCATTTTTCTTCCAAAAGGATCCCCAAGTTCTTTAGGAAGGCCAGAGAGGAATTAGCCAGGACATTGAAAATATTATCCTTACTCTTTGAAAAGGTGTCATGGGAACTTTAATGACCAGTGGAAAGAGCACCACCTACTGGTCCACCCACCCCACATGCAGCCACAGTCTTGTTTTCATTGGAGGTGTCTTCTCCCAGTACTGACCAGATCTGACCCAATTAGGCAGGCAAAATTGCTGCCAGAGGTATGCTGCCATCGTTTAAAACTCACTTATAGACCAAGCAGCTCATGAAAGCCTTTAAACTGTAATTTAGTTCCCACTGGGGCTGGTTGCTTTGTTTTTTTTCCGTCTGTCAGCTGTGATATGTGTGACAGTGTACAAAGAGCCCTGAGGTTCTTGAATCGTATGCAGATACTGTAGTATTATTGCGTTTATTATAATTAGAGCATAGTACAACATCTGTCTTAACAGTCCCCCCCCCCCCAGAGGGCTCGCTTTGTAGGCATGTCTGGACCTCATCCAGCTGGACTTGATGGTTTCTGGGTGTCAAGCTGACATCAGTATCAGTGCCTCTGGGCGCCTCAGCGGAGGCTCTGAGGACCGGAAGCCAGGCTCAGGGGGACAGAAGGCAGGGCCTGTCTCCTGCCCCCAGGAGTGGGTGTTCCTTAAAGGCTGCAGTGTTGAGCCAAGGCAGGCCGGTCTGAGTGACCGTGGCGGTGTGGGGAGTGACATTGCACCTCGGCTGCCTCACTATCTCCTTCTGCCCGTCCAGCGCGTTGCACACACACACCCCCGCAGAAACAAAGACCGAAATCCAGGTCACACATCCCAGGTGACAATGTCAGGGCGTCCTGAAGGCTGGAGGCGGGGGGGGGTAAGAATCCGAGCTGCCCAGGGTGCATAAGAAACCGCCGGACAGTCCAGTGCGTTTGCAGGAGCCTCTGCCCTCTCCCGCCTCGTGCCAGATGGGGCGAACAAGGGGTCAGCGCAGCCTGCTGTAATGACACCAACATAGAAACAGGATCAGAGATCAGAGCCCCTGCCGGTGGCTGGATTTAGCTCCTGCTCCGCTCTCAGCACTGCCTGGGCTCCGCCATGGCCTCTGTCTCCGCGCTCTCCTCCGGCCCCCTGGCCACGCGCCTCCTGATCGCTGCCTTGGCAGGTAAGAGCACGGCGACTCCGGTGCGCGCGTCCGCTCCCGCAGGCTTCCCCAGGGGCTGTGCAGAAACCGGCGCCGGCAAACGGGAGCAAAGCCTTACAGCTGCCCGCGAGGCAGCACAGCGTTAGCAGCACCCTCCTGCTGTAGTCTGATGGTCTTCACATTGTGCATGATTCTTCCCAGGCGCTTATCGGGCTGTGCGGCTACTGGCGTTGTTCTTGTGCTTCGGCTCTCCTCTGTGTGCATGCAGTTACTCAGGAGCCTTATCAGAAGCAGACCATCTAAAGAAAGGAGGACGTGCACAGGAGCCTTGTGGCTTCTGTCCTGTCTGAAAGTGCTGTAGGGGCTTTCGGCTTGATAGATACAGCCAGGAGGCTCATTTCTGTTGCCTTTTCTGTGTTTTAAAGTCGGCCGACACTGCAGCATGGTTTACCAGGTGCTCTTTCCAGATGTGTATTAGATTTTGGCTGATACAGTACACGTTTAAGGTGTCAGGGTTTTTTTTTTTGTCAATGCTTTTGCAAAACTAGAGTGGAGAGTAAAAGCGCAGCCTCTGAAAGCTTCGGAAAATGTTTTGAAATTCAAAACCCCAGGCAGTGTCAGAGAGAGTATGGATATCCCTAAGTAAGTGAACTTAACACATGAAACAATTTTGTTTATCAATCGTACTCCAACTAAATAGACACGGGATTCAGGGCCCATAGGAGGAGAAAAGTTTTCTTTCTTCCTACATTTTCTACAGTTAATAAGATCGCCCTGCTGCTATTCTAAAAGTGGAGTCATATAACATTGACTGAATTTACACAAGCTCTCGTGTGCAGGCGGTTTATTCTTTTTCATAACCACATCAATTAACTGGACATTATTAAACCTGGCCGAAAGACAGATAGGTGCAGTATTCTGTTTGCACTGCAGCTGTTGTTTTCTCTTCTTGGTTTGATTTACTGCTTTGACTGAGGGTCCCCTTGTGTGCCTGTTTTAATAACTACCGTGTTTACGAAGATCTTATTCATACGTGTCCCAGTCTAAACAGTGGTTTCTCTTTACAATCGGCATGTCTCACCAATATCATCAACTGTGGGTTTAAACCTCAGAGTATCTAATAACAAACTCAGTGCCCATAAGGTTAGTATAAAAGCCTGTAAATCCTAATTTAATGTAGCAGGTGTATGCAGAAAGTTTAGATGAATGTGTACTGCACGGCTGATGATAAAGCATGTGACTTGGTTTCTAATTTTAGAGGTCTACTTCTAGCAGCTCATTGATATTTATAGCCAGGGGAATAGCTTCAATACCTTGGCTTTACAAACACCCTGGAGTGGCCCTGTCAGCGGAGCAGGTCCTGCTGCCAGTGGCTCCTGGAACAATCGAGGCAGTGTTCAGTATCTGACAGCTGTACCGAGAAAGGGAGAGATGACACTGAACCCCACTCCACACTCCTGAACAGGCTGTTCAGTGCATGGAAGTGCCATTTTCTCGGGTTGAGGTGATTCACACTGTCTACTTCTTTTTCAGTTCAAATGTTATTTTCCCTGGTCTTTTCCTCTGCTTAACTCCCTGAGCTGGTACCTGCCTTTTATAGAAGTGAACTGAATGTGCCTAGCCCTCACAAACACCGGGGCTGCTGTAACTGAGGAGGCTCTTGCAGGGCAGCGTGGTCACAGACAGACAATGGTTCTACAGTGGAACCGTCATTCGGTGTCCTGCTTCACCGACAGCAGAACCTGTCGACTCCAGCTGTAGTACTTAATATTACTCCAAACACCAGGGAAGCAGAGACACAGGGAAAGCTTTTGCCATCACCTGTTGTGAATCTGACAGAAGTGCTAGTTTTGGCACTGTTTTGAGCTATTCCACACAAAATCCACTTGATGACAGTTTTGCACAGGAACGACAGCAATCCCACAGTGATGAAGACGAAGAGCACTCTCCAAAGTGCCATGATGTGACGCATGTTAACTCCAAGTGGAGTGGCTAGTACAGGTTCTGTCATGGTTTTTTCTTCAAACCTGAATAACAATAAAACAATGCCTGCAAATCAAAAACCGATAAGCATGGTACTGTACATGTGTGTTCTTTAAATAAAGGATCAACGGACGTTCATTCCTGTTTGTCCTTCATTTCCCAGCGGCTGCTTTAATCCTAGTCAGCCATGTTGCTGACGGAGCCACAGTTCCCAGCTGGACGGCTGTTGCGAACGCCGCAGATGACCCTAAAACCGAGGGTTTGGGGACGCCCCCCAGACCGGTGATCTTGGGAGCCCGGCTACCTGACAACAGCACGGAGCAGCCGACGCCCACAGAGACAGTGGGGCACTGGCTGGAGCAGAGCCCCCAGAAAGAGAAGGCGGTCGAGGGGGAGAATGTGGTCTTCTCCTGCCTGCTGAAGCCTCCCAGCCGGGGCCTGGAGGTGAAGTGGGTGAACCAGCAGGTGGAAGCAGATCTACAGGTGCTGGTGGAAAACCAGACGGTGGAGGGCGGGGGGTACTCTGGGCGGGCCTTCCTCAGTGGAGACCTGCAGGTGGGAGACGCCTCCATGACCCTCCTGAACGTGACCTCGAATGACTACGGCATCTATTTCTGCAACGTCACGCTGCCCAGCGGCGAGACTCTCAAGGGGCCTGGCACCAAGCTGAGCATCCGGAAAGGACTAGGTGAGTCCAGCTGATCTTGGACAGTCTGTGCAGGGGGACAGAGGCTCTAGGTGAGTCCAGCTGATCTTGGACAGTCTGTGCAGGGGGACAGAGGCTCTAGGTGAGTCCAGCTGATCTTGGACAGTCTGTGCAGAGGAACAGTGGCTCTAGGTCCGAACCCAATGCATAACCAACCTTCAGAGGACTATATTAGCTTTTAATGGATGAAAACTCAGACTGCCCATAACAGGAGCATGACAGCCGACAACCAAAACAAGCGACAGTCGCAGAGCAGGATTCCAGTGCAGAGCTGAAGCTCTCTGGAGCCGTGACAGAGAGTGCCGGAAATAGAAAAGAAAAGGAATGTCTTGGTGCAGAAAGAGGAAAGATAGGTTTCTTCAAAGGCTTTATTTTACATGACTACAGAAGGGTCCGGCAGAGGAATCGATTTGACCTGCCCTGTCAATAGCTGAAGATGACATGACCCATGCTGATGGATTGCTAGATCGCTTTCTGAATAAGAAACTGTTAATCTGCTTTAGCCTGATTGCAGGAAAGACAGTTCTCCCCCACAGAGTGGTGCTGCAGTGGGTTCTGAGGATGCAGTCAAGTTGCCAAGTAAGAAGAACAGGTCAGGCAAATGGGAGATGCTGAGGATATTCCCAGGAGGACACAATTTGAGAATCTCTCTGTGTCCTGCTTGCACCTGTGATGATATATTGTCAGGTATCTGATAATGTCAGTATAGCACACTATAACGCACCAGTATTCCTTCAGGAAGTCGAGACCCCAGCTCAAGGTATCATATTACTATGTGGTTGCTTCAGATTCCTGTCTGAAGATGCTGACAGTGACAACAGTTTCGTTGCAAACTATAGAGCCAGTCTGGAGGGGTGCAGGCTACCCCGAGAGTGGTTCTAATCCTGGGGTGCTCTTCCCTGCTGCCCGGCAGGTCTGTTCGGCATGGAGGAGTCCGTTGGCACAATTATCGGGGTGGTGGTGGCGGCCGTGGGGGTGATGGTGGGACTGGTGACCATCATAGTGCCGCAGTTCCGAGAGAAGCTCATGTGTCTGAAGAAATGAACAGATCGACTTCGGGTGAGTAACCGAGATCGCCAAGGTGGGCAGCAAGCACACTTCCTGTCGCCATCCCTGATGGGTGGGCGCCAGTGGCTACCCCCCTGCCATATGATTGAAGGACACAGGTTCGAATCTGGTCTGTTCCACAGAGAAACAGATCTCAAGGGTTCCGGTATTCATTCTGAGAATACTGCTTGTGCAAATATCCCCAATGTGTAAGTCCCTATTTTTTAAATTTAAAGAAAATAAACATAACACTTATATAGTGCTTTTCTGGACACTCCACTCAAAGCGCTTTACAGGTAATGGGGATCCCCTCCACCACCACCACTGTGCAGCCCCACCTGGATGATGGGACGGCAGCCATAGCGCGCCAGAACACTCCCCACACACCAGCTCTCAGTGGGGAGGAGAGCAGAGTGATGAAGCCAGTTCAGAGAGGGGGATTATGAGGAGATTGGTAAAGGTGGATTGAAAAGGTCCCTTGATTCATGATAAATGCAAAGATTAAATTTCCTCTTATGGCTCCTTTAAACTCTTTCTGCTGTCTTGGCCGGTTTTGGGGACAGGTTCACTCTGTGAAAATAAGGAATAAAAGGATGTCCTTTCTCTCCAGCTCCCTGCACTGAGGGAGCACTTGGAGAGCTAGACCTGGGTGGGGGCAGCTGGGTATGTTTGATTCCTCCTCAGCCCACGTGTATATAAAGCACCCCAGGACGTTTACGTACGTGAGCTCTTAAGGAGCCATGGGCCAGCATGATGTCTCATCCACTTTAGGCTGTCTATGTCCCAAAAAAGTCCCTGGTGCCTGAGGGTTCAGGTCGGCTCCATTGTTTGGCTGTCAGACTGGTCCCTGACGTCACTGTGGCTCGTGGATATTATTAAGCCTGCCCTTTGGCTTTTTTCTCTGGCTGACAGGCCCCCGGAGCTGTGCCAGGAGCCGGCTGCTCCCCTGTCACGTCCCCAGAAATGTCCTTGGGATGATCTGGGTCAGGGAGAGGAGTGACAGCTGCAGGTGACACAGGGGCCAGTGGGGCAGCTGTCCTGCCTCCGCATGCAGCAGCAGGCGGGTAGTTTGCCCCCCTGTGTAGAGGGCAGCCGCTCGAGATCTCAGCCCTGCTCCGTGTTACCTGGGCTGGAGTGGACCCGTTATTGTTTAAACACCCTGGTTCTCTGTGCCCGGGGAGAGGGGTCAGGCTTCACACAATTATGCTGAACTCTTCTGTCCCGGGAAAGGTCCCCTAGATCCCTAACCACAGCTGAGCCGTCATTGTCGATGTCTGTCTGGATTTGTCCGGCCGTGTAATTCTGGAGGGGCTGCCGAGAAGGACAGTTTGTGCACCGGTGTCATTGCATTGTCGTTTGCATTGTTCTTATGGCAACCCAATAAACAAGAGTTAAACAGAAGGCACAAGGTATCTTATTGCACACTCATTTCCCCCGGACAATACGTTTTGTCCTTTAGAAAGTCGTTTTTATTCGTTAGTGTCCTGTAGTACTCAGGAGGGTGCTGGGAAGAGGGAAACTGTTTTACTTTTCTAAAACTGAATGTTAATACCAACAGAATTGAATATTTTGTTTCCATGCTCTGTGTTAGGGATACAGTATCCGCCAGTATCGTATTGTGGAGGAGGGAAGAGGGTGTTCTTAGTGGTTTTGTTCCTAAGCTCTTGCACTGCTTGTGTTTTCCCAGGCTGAAGAGGCTGGCCGGAGGTCTGCGGCGCGTGGACAAACCCATTCCCAGTGTTCACGCCTTCAGCAAACTGATTCGTCTGACTCGAGACCCAGTACTTGGGGATCGGTGCACAAAAGGTGGACTTTTTAAAATAAAAACAGATACCATAAAAAGATGCTCAACAAGACCAGCAGGGTTAAAAAAGTTAAATATTTATTAGGATGTTCTTGAAATAAACTGTTGGGTTTTGATATAAAAGGCTCTGAGAAATTTTGATTCCTCTGACAGAAACTGAGTTTTTATCGAAGCTCTAACAACCCCCATCAGTACATCCTGAAAAATCGCATTTCATGTCTAGCTTTTATATAACTTTAATACTGGGTGTTGTTTTCAAAAGTCATCTGTGAACTGTTCATTCTTCACTTAGCTGAGCAGGAATGTGGCAAGACGCTATTGTTGCTTTAGGTATCCGGTTAAATCTTGTTCCGCCAGGCAGCACTGCTGATAGCTATCTCACTCCTCCTACAGGTATGGGCCCAGATTAGTAGCTGTCAGTGACCAAAAATGTAAGTCGTGACATCCACCTCTCTCGTATCTCGAATACAGCGGATGGCTGTATCCTAGGGTAGTTTGTCCCCTTACCCATCTACGAGATGCAAGAAGGAAAGAAATGTTAATTCAGCTGACAAGGGGCGCAAACCGTAATTCCACTGTAATTATTCTACGACAAGAAGGGACTGCTTTTTGTTTTGCATATTCATTCTTTCCTCTCCGTGCACCTTTTTAACTTTTAGTGGGCCGTCCAATTCCAGAACCAGCACTGTTCCCATTAGGAAATGATATGTTGCTCCAACCTGCAGCTCTTCCGTGATGCTGGTTGGCAGTGTGAAGCCAGAAACTAATCTGGCAAGCAGACGTGGGCTGGGAGAAGACAGACCCATAGGGTTTACTCCCAGAAGTGAATGTTACTGGCTCCACACTTTGGCTAGAGCACTGACTGCTCTGAACACGATGCACTACATTACAATGAGCGGCCGTTTCTTTAACACCCTGTATATACAGTATCTCCCGCCCCATCTGCCTTGCATGATTACTGGGTGATGTGACTACTGGGGAAGAAGAAGGAGGAGAAAATGACTTCCCTCCACTCCAGCATGGAGTGCAGAACAGAGCTGCTAGACAGCGCCAGACCCCAGCTGAAAGGCGCTGGACTCACAGTATGAAGAGGTTTCAATGGGCTGCACTTGAACAAAAACTAAATGCCCTTGATGAAACCATGAACGCTGTTGTCCTCTCCCTCTCTCCACTGGAGGGCGCCGTTGAGGCATGCTTGCACGTGAGCTGGGGTGACAGGCAGATACACAACCGCACTGAGCTGAATGCGGAGGGGCTCCAGCAAGCTGGGCCTCGACCCCTGTTCAAACCCATGGGCTCAGGACCCATTAGCTGGTAGCTGTGTCTCAACCAAGGGGGAGATTTAAGAGCGCAGCAGGTCAGGAAACTGGAAGGGCAGCTTAACACGAAGGGTTGTGATGGTCTGGAACACACCTGACGTAGTTTTCTTAGGATAAGATCTTTGGATTAACTATCAGGCACCCAACTGGCTAGGTGGGTCAAATGGCCTCCTTTTGTATGCAAACCTCTTGCCGGATTTCTCTTGCATATTGTCAGCTCTTCTTCTTAAAAGGCTTCACTCCTACATGGCAGCCCCTTTATCCACACCCCGCCTCAGGTTGTAAACGTTTTGTAATTGTTACTCAAACAGATGGAGGGGTAATTGATTTGTTTATGCTACAGTATTTCTTCTCCTTCGCAAATGTACTCAGGAAAACGTATAAAATTTGCTTCGAGACACGGAAAACTTCAAAGACGCAAATGTAGCAAAGGGTGACCCAGGTTAAGACAAAACGAGAAACTCGTCTATTCTCCCCCATTGAAACATTTTTAGAATTAAAGGCAAATTTTATTTCAAGGTAGCAAATCACAGGAAAGCTTTGCATTAGTTTAAAACACTTTAACCATGATCCAATTTGTTAAAAAAAACTTTAGCAATGCGATTTCAGTCATGTATGAGGTGTGAAGCAGAAGTTCCAGCTGCTTGGAAATAGTGTTTTTTCAAAACACCACAAAAGAGGATAATCAAAATTTCCTCTCTTGGATGTGGGACTGTTGGTCTAATTCCCCCAGTTTTCCTATACTTTTCTTTGCCCGGTCTGTCAGGGGTCACACCAGGCACTCACTCCTCACAATAGCTCCAGGACAGACTTGTCTTCTGTAGAAACTGCTCTCTATAACATGGACACATGACAACACAACGCCAAGAATAACAGGCAAACCAATTAGATCTGATCACTTTATTCTTTGGGACTCAAACAACTTAACACATGAACCACTGAACAGGACATGAAAAATGTGCACCTCGGCGCACAACCACACACACAGCAAACACGATTGACTAAACCGTGAAAAAACAAACAGAAAAACACCTGAAAATACAGAACCACAAACAGGCCTCTGTAGCCTGCCTGCAATAAATATACAACTGTTCCATCCCTTGTTTCAAACTTGAAACATCTGCAGTTTTTAAGTTATGACTATTAAGTTGTTTTTCTTTATAGAAGGAACATCAACAATAAGTACATCCATTGTTTTTTTTATTTATTTAAATCTACAACTAGATCTATGAGATGATAGCAACGCCAAGTAAAAAAAAGAAATGGAAATGTTTTGAAATCAGAGCTGGAGAGTAAATGGGCTTCAGAACCGCAATGTTGAACTGGAACAGGGACAAGAGGGAGGGAGGGAGGGAGAGAGAGCACGCTGTGTGGACACAGACTGCGGTCAAAGAGCAGGACAGCGGACAGCCGCAGAGAGGGGCGGTGGACATGAGGCACTGCAGTGTCTCGGTCCCTGTCTGGGCCTGTGCTGGGGGTAATGGACGCTTCTGACAACGGCCACTGCAGCAGACCACTCAAGGTCAACCCAGTTGGCCAAGTACACCCTTTATACCCCTTATTTAGTTCCTGTTCCTAACTGGCCATTTCGCCTCGTCTGTGCTTCTGGCCATACTGGAGAAGATGCTCAATAAGTTTCACAGTTTCAGGTTGTAAAACTATTTTGTCTGAGCCCTCAGGTCCCCCTGTGCATTCGAGCGCTGCAGGTATCGAAGTGTTCCTCCCGGCGGCCTGAAACAGTGCTTCCTCCCTCCCGCATGGACGTGCGTGGAGACTGCACGGGACGGGCCTGGGGCGAGAGGCACACCCAGCTGGGCCACCCGTCCCTCGCCCTCTGCCTGCATGACTGCTCGCACGGAGCTGGGGCCTGCCTCCCTGACACACCCCTCGGCGGGACAGCAGGCCTCAGACACCGACGATCCTTTCACACGACATAAAGGCAACTCAACACATTTTAAATCTCAACAGAATTTAAAAATTTCAAGAAGGTTAGGAGAAGGTTATAGAGTTTAGGAATGTACAGCTGTGGGGGGGGGGGGGGGTTGGAGACACCAGGGTGTTGTTTTGCTGGAATACTGCACTGCACAGGGAGCTCCGACGCCTGCGGCGCTGTCCTGCAGGGGGCGCTAGTCCTCCAGGCTGCGGAAGCCATTCTGCATGTCCTCCAGCAGCTGGGCGTAGTCCGCCTTGATCTTGGCCTCCCCGTCCTTCACTGGGTCCTGGAACACAGCCAGAGGCATGGTTGACACCGGACCAAACACTCTGGCCTCGGCCCGCTGAAACTCTTACTTTACTGTCCCAGGTGGGAACTTCGCTTTGCAGGCAGGATAAAGACACGGAGGCACAGCGCTTTTAACACAACACGGGCCCCCTAAACAAAATTAGGGACAAACTGTCAATTGTCCAAATTGAGCAACTTAACAGCTGTGGGACTAAAAGATGGCTTGGTTCTACTGCACTTGAATCTGGGCAGTTGAAATCAAAGCCCAGACGGGAGGGGCTCAGGTTCACCATGCAAGGGGTGGTCACGACGCCAGCCCTCGCGCAAGTGAGTCGCGGATTTTTAGTGCAACTTGACCCGCGACACGTTAGGATAAGTTAAACGGCACGGGAGAGGTGCCGGGCCGCCTGCTACCGAGGTACCTTGAACTTCATGGAGCTGAGCTTGTAGAGCGTCTCGCCCATGTGCTCGCGGATCATGGCCCAGGTGACCTTGTTGTCGCTCTGCGCCGTGGACTCCACCGCGTGCCGCGCCATGTCGTAGAAAGCAATCATGTTGGAAAGGATGCCCACCGTCTTGTAGAACGGGCAGAACCTGAGGAGAGGGCGACAGGGCGCGAGTTAAGAGCCCGGGAGCGCAGTGGACGCTGCCCGCTCACGACGGCACAGGGACGTGTCCGCAGACCTGAGCTTGACCAAGAAGGAGCAAGCATGGCACCACAAGCCAAGACTATACCAATCCTCAAACATCCCTAACCCATTCCAACAGCTGCAGGGCTTTCCAATAATAATAATAATAATAATAATAATAACAACAACAACAATAACATCATAAAGCACACTTACGAACCCAGGGATGCTGTACGTAATGATAAAAAATAAATAAAATAGAACAAGAAACTACAAGACAAACTGTAAGACAAGCAGACATGGCTCCTAGTAAAAAGGTGCATTTTAAGTTTCGATTTAAAAGCCGTCAGGGAATCTGCCTCTTGAAGAGACCTAGAAAGGGTATTCCATAATAATGGAGCAGTGACAGGAACAGCGGGGTCACCAAACTGTCCCTCTTTCAGTCCCCGGTAACGAGCAGAGGACCAGCCTCAGCTGAACAGAGCCTCTGGGAAGAAGTATATACTGCACATGCAGGAGCTCAGAAATGTATAATGGGACCAGTCAATAATTCAGCACCCCAAAAATGAACGGGTACAAATGTTCCCTTTGCGACTTTTTATGCCCTCGTACAAATGGGCCAAAAACCCAGACTAAAGTTCTGCCAAAGCGGAAGGCGATTCTTTACCTGTCATACGGTGTGTAGCCGTTCTGCTGCAGGAAGTCATCTTTAATCAGCTTGGCCACTTCCAGCGTGATCTTGTCAGACTCTGCCAGAGAGGCCTACAGAAACACAACCAGGTGAGAAAAGCCGACAAAAACGCTCAGCGCAGATCTGTGCGAAAGGCGAACAGCAATGCCAAGGTTTCTGGGGCTGATCTCTGGCTGTAGTCGGCCCCGGCAGGAATGGCCTCAGAACAGCTGCAGGTGGCTCCCCTTCCCCTGGGAGAAGGGGTGGAGTCTGAATGAGGAGCTGCCCTGAGACTGAACCGCAACAAAGCCTGCGTCTGTATCACAGCTGTGCAACAGGGCTCAGTGGCCCCACTCCTCCATGGGCGAGTGGTCCAGACTGGAGTCAAGTGCTGTGCAATGGGAGTCTTACTGCTATGACAGGGCACCCCTATTGCTCGGGGTCTTGGAAGCCCCTCTCCCTGCTGACCAGCGACCCAAGCGGTGCTGTCCAGCAGCTCGGTCATGGAGGCCCCTCTCCCTGCTGACCAGTGACCCAAGCGGTGCTGTCCAGCGGCTCGGCTCCCCCACAGCTCACCTTGCCCACCAGCTGCACGATCTCAGCCAGGTCCTCCTCCTCCTGCAGGATCTCCTTGGCCTTGGTGCGCAGGGGCACGAACTCGGGGAAGTGCTTGTCGTAGTACTCGTCCAGCGCCCGTGTGTACTTGCTGTAGCTGATCAGCCAGTTGACCGAGGGGAAGTGCTTCCTCTGAGCCAGCTTCTTGTCCAGACCCCAGAACACCTTTCAATTAACAAGTCAAGAGCAAGACAGAGAGAAAAACAGGGAGACAGAGAGAACAATAAAGGATAAATGAACACAAAAGAACAATAAAAGAACACAGATAAAGGATACTGTGAACCAATAACCATAGGTACTGCACATCTAAATGTGCAACCTCTATGAAAAATGAGCACGTGAGAGCTGTGCATGGTTACCTGGACTATACCAAGAGTGGCTGAAGTCACGGGGTCTGAGAAATCGCCACCAGGGGGCGACACACTGAAAGAGAAGACAAACTTCAGCAAGAGCACAGGGCTGAAAATCACACACTGATTTTACACACACTGGATGAATGGAAATTATTCCGCGTCTTCTCAGTGACGCTGAGATCATTCTAATCCAGCATCTCCAATAAGAATTTTCCCCATGGAGCATCAGCGTTAAACCACTACCTTCAAGCCCAAGAGGAGACGACCAATCAAATCAAACACGAGCGCACATGAACGGCCCCCTTTGCTGTGAAAGAACGGTCTTAACCCACTGGACACTCCAGCTCTCCTCGTGTTCCCTGGTCTGTGCCAGCTTCTCTACTGGGGGGGGGGTGAGGGGGCGCTCTAAAATCGTCACTGCTGTATGAGAGTGAGGAGATGTAGTTTTGGGGGTACACTTACGCTCCCACGATGCTCACGCTGCCTTCTCTCTCCGGGTTACCCAGGCATTTGACACGGCCAGCCCGCTCGTAGAAGGAGGCCAGGCGGGCGCCCAGGTAGGCAGGATAGCCGCTGTCTGTAAAACAGCGAGCACACGTTTCACAGAACACCTCCGTTCCCGGTTCCTATCAAACCGACTCCCAGAACCAGAACCAGCCACGGCTTTGCAGAGCAGCATGCCCAACAGCATGAAGCGGGCGCTTCTGTGGGCTTAGGACTGCTCAACTAGACAGAGAGCTTCCTCCTGTCAGCTGGTTATTAGAAACCTGTGGCCCAGACTCTGACCCATCATTAATGCTGAATCATGGCAGCGGACAGTTTTGAAACCCAACTGCTTTTTATTTATCTACAACACAGACTCATATCTCAACATAGACTGTCACGATAAAGACCGGTCTGAAGAGGTCTTCCCACAGAAAGAGAGCACAGGAAGATAATGAGATGAGATGATACGGCCCCTCCGTGCTGTCCCGCAGCCGGTAGAGCTAAAGGGATCCCCACACACACGGCGAGCGGGCAGCGGACTCACCAGCAGGCATCTCCGCCAGACGGCCCGAGATCTCCCTGAGCGCCTCGGCCCATCGTGAGGTGGAGTCCGCCATCATGCTCACGTTGTAGCCCATGTCTCTGAAGTACTCGGACAGCGTGATCCCTGCGGGGGGTATCGAGAGAGACAGACTCACCCTCCTGTCTCCCCAGGAAGCAGCCCGACTGTACGGCTCTCTGCCAGGCCGCTTCAAGGATTTCGCCCAGCACCTCCCACACTGGAGGCCCGAGACTGAGCTGCACTAAACTGATGAATGAACAAGTGCCACTGTGTGTGTTTTTTTTGCAAATGCATATTGCAGCCATAGCTTGTGACCATATGCACTGCTCTGTTTTTCAGGCAAAAGACATTAACTAAAAAACAAAGACCTACTGGTGCTAGAAGACTCTTCCATTCTTAAAAACCATGCCTCATGAGGGTGCTGCTGTCACCTACTGGCACGGTGGTATAACTACACCTGTGTCTAAACCACTAGAAACGCCCGATTTACCTCTAAACAGGCTGTTATTCTTAATGTGCTCAGCAGGTGCCTTATTCAGGAAAGCAACCAATAAATAAATCAACAGAAATTCTAACAGCTACATAGGTGCCTTTAAAAGACAGATGAACTATGGCATGTTGGGTTTGTTTATGATCAAAGGAAACATTATTTCAATGAAAAGAAATCTCTCTGGAAAGCAATTCTGGTTAATAGTATTAATAGTATTAGAATAAGGCAGTGACTGGCAGCGGTAAGTCAGTGGCATTGGCTGGGTATTGCTGGATATTGTGCACCTATACACACTGCTACTGTGTAGCAGAAGTTCAAGTAGGGAACTGCGTCAGCGTGTGGAGGCTGCAAAGGGACAGGTAAAGGTTAATTCCATGCTGAAATGAAAAGAAAAGAGATGCAACATTTCAGCTGTGGAGCTTTTACACGCCTGAAGAAGGCTCCACAAATGAAAAGTCATGTCTCTTTTCCTTTCAGCATGGAATAAACATTTACCCCTTACTGTGTAGCAGTGTAGTTTAAGGTTGGTTATAATTGGATGTGGAGCTTGTCACTGCTTGCAA